ATTCACACAGTTCAATACTGATTCACACAGTTCAATACTGATTCACACAGTTCAAAACCGATTCACACAGTTCAAAACCGATTCACACAGTTCACAACTGATTCACACGGTTCAAAACCGATTCACACGGTTCACAACCGATTCACACAGTTCAAAACCGATTTACTCAGTTCAATACTGATTCACACAGTTCAATACTGATTCACACAGTTCACAAACTGATTCACACAGTCCAAAACTGATTCACACAGTCCAAAACTGATTCACACAGTCCAAAACTGATTCACACAGTCCACAACTGATTCACACAGTTCAAAACTGATTCACACAGTCCACAAGTGATTCACACAGTTGACAACTGATTCACACAATTCACAACTGATTCACACAGTTCAAAACCGATTCACACATTTCAATACTGATTCACACAGTTAAAAACTGATTCACGCAGATCAAAACTGATTCACACAGTTCAAAACTGATTCACACAGTTCACTACTGATTCACACAGTTCAAAACTGATTCACACAGTTCACTACTGATTCACACAGTTCACAACTGATTCACACAGTTCAAAACCGATTCACACATTTCAATACTGATTCACACAGTTAAAAACTGATTCACGCAGATCAAAACTGATTCACACAGTCCAAAACTGATTCACACAGTCCAAAACTGATTCACACAGTCCAAAACTGATTCACACAGTCCACAACTGATTCACACAGTTCAAAACTGATTCACACAGTCCACAAGTGATTCACACAGTTGACAACTGATTCACACAATTCACAACTGATTCACACAGTTCAAAACCGATTCACACATTTCAATACTGATTCACACAGTTAAAAACTGATTCACGCAGATCAAAACTGATTCACACAGTTCAAAACTGATTCACACAGTTCACTACTGATTCACCCAGTTCACAACTGATTCACACAGTTCACAACCGATTCTCACAGTTCCCGATTAACACAGTACACAACCGATTCACACAGTTCACAACCGATTCTCGCAGTTCCCGATTTACACAGCACACAATCGATTCACACAGTTTACAACCGATTCTCGCAGTTCCCGATTTACACAGTACACAACAGATTCACACAGTTTACAACCGATTCTCGCAGTTCCCGATTTACACAGTACACAACAGATTCACACAGTTCACAACTGATTCACACAGTTCACAACTGATTCACACAGTTCGAACCCGATCCACTTGTTCAAAACAGATTCACGGCGTTCAAACGAGTTACGTATCGTATAAAACGCGTATAAAAATCACATCGCCAAAGAGCCACATGTGGCTATTAGCATAACTATTACCCGCGGGGGAGAACACTTAGGCAATTCATCTCACATTAATCCTACCCCTGTACGGGGGGGGGGAGGGGGGAGGGGGGCCTTTGATTGTATTATCATCCCTGATCAAAGTGTTTTACGATTTGCGCCCTTCGTGCAGTTGTTATTGCGAGTAATCAAAGTATGAATGCCACAATTTTATTACTCATAATCGTCGCGTATTGCTTACAGATAGGTTTAGGGTTGTGACAAGCTTTGTTGAGGTTTATTTCTTACTCGATGGAGTTTGTAAAATACTGCTGGAAACTAGTTTTTTGGTTATTGGCTTTTGTCTTAATAAGATGTTTTGGAGATGTGTTTGTTGACAATATTTAAAGTAAAAGTAAAATATTCCAAAGTATACGCCAATTATTTGTTCGAATTTTACCTACAGTATGACACAGGTTTACTGAATTGATAAGGATTGTTAAACTAATAAACCACAAAAGCAGTAATCTGACACATACACAAGGCATATCATGGGTAAGCGGTGGGAGTAACTATGGTATTTTATGGAGAAAATCACAAAAAGTTGCAATAACTTTTGATCCGTAATTTTTACACTATTGGGGGGTCTTACATTTGGTTTAGAGCATTAGAGCTACAAGGACCATGACATACTATATTTCAATCAAAATCAGTCGAGCCGCCTTTCTAAAAATATGATTTTTCCTGTTACTTTCTGGGTTTTATGGGAAAATCACAAGAGTTACAATAACCTTTGAACCGTAACTTTCACATAAATGAGAGTTAAACTATATTTTGTTTAAAGGGATTGAAACATACTACATTTCAATCGAAATCCGTTTTTGAGTAAATAATAGTTTACCGTTATTTATGGACAGTTATGGGAAAATCACCATTAAAAATAAATTTCTAAGAAATAGAAAAAAGCCCGGAGAGGATTATTAGTACACAGATCATGGATTAGTATATACATAACAAAATTAATCAAAATCGGACCATAGTCATTAGCTTTGTAAACATCCACATCCACACACATAGGCTGCGGCCACACGGGCGTTTTTTTCACGCACAAACGCAGCGTGAAAACACGCGAAAAATTAGAGTAGCATTGAAACAAATGGTCGCCCGCTACTGCGGGAAAACACACTGCGTGTGGCATATCTCATTACATTTAATGCTGCTCATATTTCTCGCGTTTTTTCACGCTGCGTTCTTGCGTGAAAAAACGCCCGTGTGGCCGCAGCCATAGTATCACTTCGAAAACTTCAATTGCGGCATAATACTTGGATTATTGTTCAGTTTGAATTTTCACACCCGGTTAAGTTTGCGCTAACCGGACTATACGTAAATAGTTCACTTTCTAATACTGTTCGACAACGCACTGATATTTGTGTGCATACACAATACTACTTTAATATTACACTAGTGTTTACTAGAAATCGAGCAATTGCAAAGAAGTAAAGTAGTTATTTTAAAACAAGTAAAAGTTACCTATCAACTTTTCCGATGAGTTTGAAAGACTTTGAAATGAAAAATAACAGCAATTATAATATACAGCTGATCAAAATGTAAACAATTATGTTCTTCATAAGGATAACATGGGAACTTTAACAGCCACTGGGGCAGAGCCCAAGGGACTTTTTCAAAAATGTAAGGTTAGTTTGCAAATCTACGCGACACGCTCTTTGCAATGAGACGTCAATGGATAAAATCGGTTAAGAAATGGCGGAGGAGTTCAACCGACAAAGTTTCATGCAGCGTATTAATTATATAGATGGTACTACCACATATACAAAACCATTAATGGAATAAACAACAAACAGCCTATAGTGATGTTTAATACGTATAAATAGTTGAACCACTATACAGTATACACGAGTATTTTTCGAAAATCTTAAACTAATCAAGAACTGACATTATATAAACATCATTATACAAAAATCATTATATAAACAAAACTAAACATTTTAACAATCCAGCAACAACTGTTGAATAATAAATATTAAAATAAAGTAAAGATCAAAGGCAATCGATTCACATAGCTGTGGCTAAGTTGATACAAATTATTAAATACCCCCGCTGCAGCAAACCTGTCGACTAAGCAAATTTCCATTTGCCTGGATTGATTTTCAATTCAAAATTCAAATATATTTATTTAGGATATTACAAGCATGGCCTCGCCAAGTTTACAAAACTTGTCGGGGACGGGGAGGACCAATAGATTTAAAAAAATGACAAACAAAGTTTACAGATTTTTCTCTTTTTTCTTTAGTTTTGTTTTCTAAGTACAAAGAATTATGAAACTAGTTCTAAGGCGGTTTGTGGCAAGCACCTATTAATAGCAAGAGTATTTTGGCAGCTAGACTTAATTCTAAAAGCATTAAAAGAAGTGTAACAAATAACAACAAGTAAAAAGCAGGAGTGAAAGCTCATATAACCAACGGCATTCACCTAGATTGCAATCTTTTGTTGTCTTTGGATTTGTGAGTTTATGTCGTGTGGTGGTGGTAGTGGAGTGAGTGAGTGTCGAGAGAAAATAGTTATTTGTGCAACTAGTGAGAAAAGTGAGCAATTGACTCACTCGAGAGAAATCCTTACTCACGAGCCGTAGGCGAGTGAGGAATGGTTTCTCGAGTGAGGCAATTGTACTTTGAACTCGAGTTGCACATTATACTTTTCCTACAGTTACCATAAAACAAATAAATTTGTGAAGAAAGATAACCTATTTTTACATAGAAGTGAACTTTTAATATAATATTTAATGTGACGTGACAAATACAACAGTACAACAGCTGACCAGCTGATTTACAGCCAGTGCTGCCAACGTATTTCGCGCGCATACGACGTTGCCTGCATGTTACGCGCTCACTATTTCGTGCCTTCACGTTGCAAATCTGGAGTGAGACAAAGTAATTAGAGTGAGACAATGTTAACATTGTCTCACTGATGACCGAATTGGCCACTTTGCTTTCTCAAATAAGTGAGAGAACATATACATTGTTAGGTAACTGTAGGAAAAGAAAATAATCTATTGAATTAACATTTATGTTTAAAGAGTACCTAGGTTAGCTGCTACAGTGAAACTAAGTGTGTTCTTTATTAAAGTATCAATAGCTTAGTGTGAAATAAATAAATCCGCCAAGTTTGATCAAAATATATCCATAGACAAGCCAACTACAACATTTTACAAAATTCTCCATAAGAATAACATGGGATTTTTTTATTTTCTCCGTAACTAATCACCGTAAAAAAAGTTGATATATTAAATTATTTGTTTTTAAGCTCTTTAAAAAGTTCTGAAAAAATTTATAAATTTTGTGTTTTTAAGGGTAAAAAATTAGAAAACCCCATTTTTAACCCATAAAACCCCCCGTTAAACCCCGTTCCCAAGGTCCGATCATGCTGGTTCGCGAACTCATTCAAGTTTATCCCGCCTTACACCTTCAAACCAAATTTTATCAAAATTTGACAAAAATTACTCAAGTTATCGTCTGGATGGACACATACATGAATGGTGTTTTGGCCTCTGGGGACATCAAAATGAAAAAGTAAATCGGTCCCGGGCCTAGGTCTTACCATGAGACCTATGGTAATGGCTACTTCCCTATAGGGAAATTCGCTAATAATTAAGTTTGTATAACTAGTCAACTATTTAATAAACTGTTTTAAAATAATCATACCTTCATAAGAAAATCTCCGATCTGAAACAAATTTGCAAATTATCAAAACACATTTTGTATATATTTTAAACATGGTGAAATTCGGGTACACTGTTGCTATTTTAAATTTACCATTGTTAAATTAAAGTTATACAATTGTTTACGATAATTTAACAAGCATACCTAGAGTTGGGATATAAAATGGTAGGCAACTATTAACTGCAAAATTTAGTTGCACTTACTATTTCACAGTCACTTTTGAATTAAACTTCTCATCATACAATCATTTTAAGGCTATTTATTTTTATCTTTGTGTCATGTCATAATTTTAGTGCATTGAAAAAACTCAAGAAAATAATTATTCCTATTAAATATAAAACAATTACATTTTACTGCGTGCACTTAACCAAAGCACAAACATAAGTGAACATTATTTTTTACCAAGCTTTTGTTAATTCTTGCTATATGTCTATACTGTTGTTGTTATTTATTATTTTTATAACTTGTTATTTCTATTTTCTATTTCTTATTACATAAAATTACATTTCATTTAGTAACTTATTGTTTCTTGTATGTATCGGCAATTTACCACTGGGAGTCAATAAATAAACAAGTAATCAATTTTTCGGATTAGTTTTTTATGTGGTCCATAGGCCTACGGTAGCGGGACAGACTTGAAGCCAAAAGTTTTCTATTTAGCCAGATTTACATCAATACATTGGCAAAGTCAGAATACATAAATTTACAGTTTGTCTTATAAACTTGAAAATAACCTCTGAACTAACAAATAATTTAAATTTTATGAATCACCCCCGAACAAAGCACACCGTGTGCCCATGACCACCCGTCAGCAAAAAACTCACGGACAACGTAGTAACATTTGTGATAAAAGTAATTTTCGAAGTTTGTGTGTTTTTTTAATAACAGGGTAAGAATCAATTCTCCGATGGTTTGACAATGCGTTGAAACCCAGTATACAGTTGTAACATAAATGTTTTTAAGGTGGTTGAACGCTTCGGTATCTGTAAAGATTGAGACTGTTTCGCGAATTCGGACACCATCTAGAGTAAAAAATAAAAATGTTACTTTTCCTAAAAGAGAATGTTTTAAGGATGTCTATACAGGGTGTCTATGCAAAAGTTAAAATATTTGAAGACTGAAACTACAAATCCAAGCGACGGCGTGGGTTCGCTTACCGATTCAGTCACTAAATTTTGTATACTCGTGTAATTTACCACTTTCTCATTGGTTTGGGCCATGACAGTTGCTATAGCTTACTTACAGTAAGTCATGCCATTAGTTTAATGTGTAAAAAAGCGTGTTTAGGCCATGACAGTTGCTATAGCTTACTTACAATAAGTCATTCCATTAGTTTAATGTGTAAAAAAGTGTGTTTGGGCCATGACAGTTGCTATAGCTTACTTACAATAGGCCATTCCATTAGTTTAATGTGTAAAAAAGAGTTTGTATATTCGAAAGAATTTAGTGATTTAGATCAGCGCAATCTGTCGGTGGCTCACATAAACTACGACAATTTTGATTTTTTTGGGCAAAGTATTTGCATAGACTAGAGAAACAAAAGTTTCCTTAATCCATAGATAAAATATATGATATATATAATATATAATATATATATATATATATATATAATATAATACCATAGTATTGGTCAGATAGCTGATACCATTAATTTCATTTCATATTGGAATGCTGCTTAAATATTTTTGTAATATTCTAGATTTATTTGAATATGTCCAGATTTATCTTTCTAATAGTTTTGTTATGAGACAATGTCTATCTCATGTTCTCAAGTACAATATATTGTTTAAATTTTTATTTATTAAAAACATAAAATTGTAATGAAAATGCGTCATTTGTTGTTGTTTAGCATACATACTTATTAATTGGAATTAATTTTAAAGCTGATTTAAATGTATTTATTAAAAAGTCCTTTTTATTTATTCATTCATAATCTCTTTGATTATATACAATGTTGCATTAATTCATAGATATTTTGCATGAGTAAATATACATCACAAAAATAAATTTACACAAAGTGCTAATTTGGTGACTTAAACGCTGTAGTTCGTGTATTTTTTTGTGATAAAAATTCTTATTCTTAATAACAATAACAAAAATAACTCCATTATCGTATTACCCTTCTGTTTAGGAGTTGCATACAATACAAAATTATACCTTCATTTTTGTACTGTTTCAACCGAAAAAATTGCATTATACTAATTGCTGTTTCATTTGTTGATATGTCATATCTATTTTTTTATTTGAACATTTACCGTGTTGGTTGAATAGTTTTTTGGTTAAATTGAGTAAGACTTTCATGACCATTGGCCTACTTGTAGGCCAATATTATTACTTATGCTTGAGCCGTTTGCTCTTTGCCTTTTGTAAAATAAGCATGATCCAAAGTTATTTTAGTATCAAGTGTTTCTTTTCAAAATCATTTATAGGGAACCTTATATGTTGGGTTTTTAGTGTTTATTGCGTATCTTAGTTTATTTATTACGTCATTTTATACTATTGTTGTATAACAATACTATTGTCAACAATATATTGTTGACGTTTTCATCTAATTCATCGCAATACTCATAAATTGTGTCAATTTCTTCCTGACTGTCCCTCGCAATTAATTTATGTTGGCGTTATATCATTATTTTTATTATTTTATTTTATTTATTTGTATTAATTTAGCTTAGTTATCAAGCATAATTAGTTACTACTCTTTCAACTATCCATTTACTGTTTATTTGTTCGATTATTCCTTTATTCACTTAGCCGATTAAATATTTTGTCTTAGTCACTATGGCATAGTTACTTGGAATTTTAACCTGTATTTATTATTGATTGTTATTTCATGTACTTAATTAATTCGTTGCTCCCTTTAAAATTGCAGTAAAGTATAACCATCACTGTAAACAGCGGGCCCGTTGGAAGAATAAACAGAACATGACATTGTAAGTCTATGTGTACACTTTTTGGAATCACCTAAAGATAAACTTACAAGACTTCTTCTTAACAAGACCAGTGGCGGCGACCCTACTACAAAATAAATGATTTCTTTGAGGCTGTTGATGACTACAGATGATGTGAAGAAATAAATCCGGACGAACCCCCAGCGGAGGCGAACACCCACAAGTAACACGTAAGTAAGCAAGCAAGTAACAAGTAACAAGTAACAGTTCATCGCGTAGTTAATTCCATTACAATTATTCCGATACAACCCTAACAAATAACAATTTGTAAATAATCATTCAGACACAATCAACGATAGACTAGTACACCCTACGTCTAATGTGTGGACTAAGTAGAGTGTGAGTGACTAAGTAGATGACTAGTGACTAAGTAGAGTCAGGGGCTACTTACCTCTGGAATCAGGACCTAGTGATGGTGCTACCACCTCCATGCTGTTCTGTCACCAAATAATCCTCTATCCACATCAAGCAACAAGGAGCAGCGATGGAGCGATGGAGGGGGGAGGCAAGCTCCGCCCACCCCCCTCCCCTCTGACGCTTTTGCAGTTTTCAGCTTTGCAGCTTCGTTCCGGGATTCTCTCCTAAATTAATGGTCTGAACAAATGCCGGCGGAAAATTTGATTATGTGGCTGCTCGCCGCGTATTTAATTTGCGCTATTTCCCTAATCTGTCTGTCGACCAGATAATTAAATATTCTTGCGCTGTTTTGTCTTTTTCCATTTTGTCATAATGAAGATGTGTCAATGGAGTGATTTGTATTGTTTGAAGTTAATGAAGTGGGATTTCAGTGACGTGTATGTTGACTAATGAGTACGGTATAGATTATTTACTGTAAGGTAGGCGAATATTTATTTTTGATAATTTTTAGCGTATTCGTTGTTAGCACGGTAGAAAAGATCACCCAATAGAGAAGTAAATAGAGGAAACATTCAATGGTACACTTAAGTGGTGTCTAGCACTAGTGCTGGTGTCTAGGCCAAAGTCCAGCACCGACTCCCTCACCCCATGTAGGCCTACTACAACTCTCACGGTGGAGGAAGACCCTGTGCCTGTACGATACGATATGGAATTCATTTCCAGACAGCGCTCACCGCTAGTACTTTTCCTTGCTCGTCCCATGTATATTTCCCGCACAACATACTAGAGCTGAAAGCGCATGGTAGTCCAAAAACAAGTTTCCTCTTTACCTTACTTCTCTGTGGCCATCCACATCAAAACACTTTTTTAGAACCTCGACATGCTCCACTGCGGCTCACTCGTAGTGTCTCAATCGCAAAACTTCTTCTCCAACGTCACAAGTCTCACTTACTCTCATCTATCTTCTATAGTTGTGGGGGGGGGGCAGCTATACATCCTCCTTCCATCGGATTGATGGTCCCAGGGGGCAGCTACTTTGGCTAACGGAAAAAAAGATCGCTTCTCATTGCTTGTTCCGACTCTTCAGCCTTCAGCCAGCGTTCTGCTTAAGGTGCTCAAGAACACTCACTCAGCTGTTTTATGTGGGAGTATGATTTGTTTCTTTATTGTAATTGTATTCCAACATCATAACAACATTAATAATAGCTATAATCAGATGTCAAGACAAAGTACAGACCAAATAGCTAAGATACTAATACAGTTTATGGTGGAATCCTCCGAACCAAATTATTTCCTTGAATAGGAATACAACAATACAACATTCTAACTACACAATAAATACCAAATCATAAATGTAATATTTACAGGAATATCATCAACAACTAACTCTTGTCCTACTTTTAGATCAGGAAGAAGCAGCTCTAACTGAAGTTCAACTGAATCTTCTTAAGCACAGTCCCTGTCGCACCCCGACCATCGTCAAGAACTTCCCTGGAGGAAAAGCTCAAGAATACCATTCAATTCATGGAAAAGGCATACATTAAATGTTCAGATTTGCTTTATTTTTTATATATTTATATTGTTGTTGTTATCTACTATATATTTATTGTTGTTATACTTACATATATATATTTATACATATATTTATTGTTATTGTTACATATGTACATATTTATTGCTGGGTTGAAATGTTTACAAAAATGTATTTAAATTCTACAGTTACTTAAGAGAAATATTGTTATGTCTAGTCTATAAAATTTGAGATGTCCGTTGGTATATAAAATAAATAAATACCCTTCTGTACTCAATCCAAGGGCTGGGATCGCTGGTCACAACTGTATTATCCGACTTGCAAATATTAAAACATTCGATAAAACTAATTCGAAAAAGTTGTATTGGCAGTGTATATTTACAGCATTTATTTATTGCAAACGGCGATACACCAATACAAAAGTATTACAAATATGATCAAGCATCGATGATCAACTACGAAGGGGAAGATTAAGAGTCCTTGGAGGTGAGGCTGGCGGCCATCTTTGATAGTTTCGAACAGCTGGTGAAGAGTTATTAATCGTCCAGAAATATTTTTTTTCAAACACAAAAGTTATTATAATTTTAATTCTGGTATGTATACTGTGAGATTAGAAATTTCTCCAAGGGAGTCCATGGGAGCTAACGGTCGTCTTGGATTTGCCCGCCATAAAAGCAATGTTAATTTCGTTAATTTCAAACAGGCGCTGGAGGGTTATTTACCGTCCAAAAATATTTTTTAAACACCAGAGTGACTGTAATTTAACTATCTAGTATCTGTGAGATTAGACATTTTCTTTGTATACTCTGTTCACACAGCCGTGGCACCTGACGGATTAGGACACCCCATGGAAACCCTTGGGGCCTCCTAATCCCTCAGGTGCCACGGCTGTGTGAACGCACTATAGTTCTTTAACTGTTTCATGAGTTAGCACGTATAGGCTCCAAGGGTTCTCAAGGTAGGCATATGATATGAAGATTTGAGAAACTCCATCAAAGAAATCCTGATAATTTCACCAGAATTGATTTGTGTGGTTTATAAAAAAAGGTTAGGAACAATAACTGAATATTATCGTTGTAAAAGCATGTGGACATAAGTGGTAGCAAAACGGGAGTGCCGATGGAGACCAGGTCAAGTCCCTTTAAACGCACGCACCCCCACAGGTCTCCATCGGCACTCCCGTTTTGCTACCACTATACCATTTAGCTGGTTTATTTAAGTTTGTGATATTTTACTAAAATCGTATTTCTTAACAGTGGGGATAGGTAGCAGAAAAATATTTAAGTTCTGACGGCAAACATGCCACTTGGGTGGTGATAATATACAAGACCAAGAATGTAAAACCGCCCAGACCCCAATTGTCCTCGGTCGTCCGTAATGACGTCATCAATATGGCGGCCGTAAGAGGATGCTAGGTCGCCATGAATTGTTTATAACACCCAAATGCCTGAACCGATTTTAATGAAATTTGGCTTACAAGTATTTGAATACATTACATACATTACAATACATCTCGGCCCAGGTTGTCAATGGTCGAGTTTGATCAAGTCGTTTCCACAATTCTTCTTTCTGTAAATAGTTTTCATTGTTTTATATTTCATCTTATATTAACACTCAAATGGGAATTCGTTAGGAATAATGTTACCTAATATTTGTTGGCGATTATACGTTTTTATATTATTCAATGTTAACACAGTTAATTAAAATCCAGTGAAATCACAGCTACGCTAGTTTTTTTTACTCAGTTAAATTGCATTAAAAACTCAACAAACTAAACAGCTCGCAGATTAGCATAAACCAATGTAATGGCGGTGATCATTCTCGTGGAGATTTGCAGTACGACGCGACGCTCGACACGACTCGACGCCGCCGGGTTAAACCTATTCACATATCGATTCCCCCCACCCTGTGTAGCCATCAGTTGTTATTCAATATTCAATTAAATCCCGGTGTAAATTGCATTAGATCCCCCTCCATGACGCTCGACATCTGAGCTGCGCCGTGATTGGTCCGCGGCTCGGCTAATCCTATTGGCCGCCGAGTGACGTGTGATCCCATTGGCCCCGGAGTTTCTTGTTTTATCGCCCCCTGCTGCATGGACGAAATCCAGTCGGATTAAATTCCGACCCGACAAAGTAGCCGGGCAAATGCTCTCGACAGTGTCTCTTTGTTATTTCTTGGAGTTTTATGACGTTATTTTTATGAGGATATAAATTATAACGCCCGGAGGGGTTTAATAGGGGTAGTAAATTCAAATTGCGTAACTGGTTACTTAGTTGCCGTACTTTTATTGCGTTTTGATTGATTGTGGAAAATTTTGAAAGCCTTACCCTAGTTGATCGAGTCTTTCGGTCGAATTTGTGTAGGGTAATGTGTAGATTTGTATACAGAAGAAATAATGTATTTAAATATGTTATTATTTCAAAAATTTGGACAACGTCATTCAATTTACATTTAAGTGCTTTAAAACGTTCACAAGGTAATTCGATAACAAGTTTGGTATTCTATGTTACCTACCACCTGGTTGTTCGGCAAGGTCGTCGTACAAGTTATTTATTTATTTATTTATACGGTAAACACAATTTTTACAATCAATAATCATGAGTGGCAAGTTACAAGATAAATATATACAAGTCAGATTCAGATTCATCTTGCTAGACAATAAAAAGATTGGTAACATGAAAAATTACATAAACAGAATTGTACCAAAAATGTGTTGACAAAGATTGGAACATACGTATTACAAATCCTAGTTAGACTAACATGCATAAACATTTTTAGAGAAAAATAACGATTACCAAATCTTAACAATTGATAAATATTTTAATATAATAACAATAACATGCAAAAATATAAATATATTTGACAGACAAGACAAAAAAAACAATGACAATAATATAATAACGGTGACGTAAACTGAGTGAAAAATGTTATCAGTACAATAAATATTTATGTGAAAGTGTAAACAAACAAGGCAGCAAATTCAAAGACAGTGACCTCAGGACACATTCTCATCAACCACATAACAATAACAGCTTAAACTAGGATATTTTAATGGCTTTTAGAATTGACTATACACCTCTACTAGAGGTGTATAGTCAATGCTTTTAGTTTGCATGTGAACATATCAACGTAGTCAACAAGTTGACTGGCATTTTAAATCAAATTAATACGACCAACTTAACGAAAGTAATTTACTTTTCTTGGCAACCATTCCTTGCAAGTATTATACTAAATATGCTTGGAAACCATTATACAACAAAAAATTACAGTCAGATTCCATGTACTTTACACGTTAAGGACAATGAGATGCAATTATTGCACAATTTAAGAAAGTTTGATTCAAGAAAGGTGTATATCAGATCTGGACACAATTAGTAAAGTATCGTCCGGTAATAGTCATTCATTCGTCTTATATGCACTTGATGGTAGGTAATGATGAACAGAAAAAAGAGGATCGGTCCCAGGACGGACCCCTGCGGTACACCTCTCCTCACCACAACTTTATAAGATACATGGTTTCGCAAGTGGCCCAAATGCAGGTGGCATGATTAGAGACTGTATTCTT